CACCTCAGCCTCCCAAAGGCGCGGGATTACAGGCTGAGCCACCGAGCCCGGCTGTGAAAAGTATTATAAACCTATTATAGTACAGTACTATATAACCAATTGTGTTAGTTGGGTACCTTGGCTAATTTTGTTGGACTTAGGTACAATTAGACTTATGAAAGTGCTACTGTATTCTAGTTCTTACTTTTCTAAGGTTCTCTTCTGCTGCTTCCTTTTGCTTACTCTTAGCTGTAGACTTGGTGTGGGTAAGGAGTTTGAGACTAGCCTGGGCAACATAGCGAGACCTCGTGTCTATAAAAATTTTAAAAATTAGCCAGGTGTGGTGGTACACAATGTAAAAATATATATAATTGGATTCTTAATTTGCATTTTCTGATGACTAATGAAATTGAGCGTTTTTCATGTATTTATTGGGTATTTGTGTGTCTTTGTGTTTTTTAAATATCATTTGCTTATTTTTCTGTTGGATTGTTTTCTTACTGTCTTGTTATAGTTTATACTGTATATATATCCATTGCTATATGTGTTGTGGATATCTTTTCATATTTATGGCTTTCTTTTTCTGGTGGCTTTGGATGTGCAGAAGTACTTAAATTTTTTTTTAAGAGACAGAGTCTCACTATGTTGCCAGACTTGCCCTGAACTCCTGGGCTCAAGCAATCCTCCAACCTCAACCTCCCAAGTAGCTGGGACTACAGGCATGTGCCACCACACCAGGCTGTAGTTCTTAATTTTAATATTGTCTAATGTAATTTTTCTTGTGGTTAGCACTGACTTTATCTATTTATAGTATCTTCTTCTATCTTGAAGTAATGATAATATTCCTTTAAAAGTTTTAAGGGTTTATCTTTTATACTCAGCTCTACCTGGAGTTCATTTTTATGTATGGTGTGAGATAGGAATCCAGTTTAATTTACTTTTTTCATAGTTATTAATTTTTCCAGTATCATTTATATGTTTAAGATTTATTTGCAGTTACAAGAATGGAGGAGGTAATCTGGTATTAGTTCCTTTATTGATTATGTGCTATCTCTGTCTTACAGGTTCTTTTTGTAATTTTGTATAACTCCCAGGAGGACTATGAAAGATTATGATGAACTTCTCAAATACTATGAGTTATATGAAACAATTGGAACAGGTAATAGTTATCATTTTTTTTCTTGGAGGCAGAGGGTAGAGAGCTATTTGGGAGTATAGTCTGTTTAGGCAGCCATCAGCTTTTTAATCTAACTTTTGTAGTTTAAAAATTCTTCGGTTTACTTTAGTAAGAAAAAGTGGAGCAAGGGGAAAAAGCCTTGTAGGTCATTGCAAGAACTTTGACTTTTATTCTAGATAAAAGTCACTGGAGAGTTTGTGCCTAGGAATAATCTGATTTTTTTTTTCTGAGCTGGAGTCTCACTCTGTCGCCCAGGCTGGAGTGCAGTGGCACACTCAGGGCCACCACAGCCTCGACCCGCTGGGCTCAGGTGATCCTTCCGCCTCAGTCTTCCAAGTAGCTGGAACTACAGGAACGCACCACCACGCCCAGCTAATTTTTTGATTTATTCTAGAGATGTGCTCTTGCCAAGTTGCCCGGGCTGGTCTTGAACCCGTGGGCTCAGGCAGTCCTCTCACCTCTGCCTTCCAAAGTGCTGGGATTATAGGCGTAAGCAGCTGTGCCTGGCCCTGACCTTTGTTTTTACAGAGTCACTTTTGTGCTTAGTGGAGAAAAAATTGGATAGGGGAAGGCAAGGGCAGAAGCAGAGAGATGTGAGGAGGCTGTTGCAGTAAATCAGGTGAGTGATGCTGGAGATGATGGTGACTTGGACGAGGGGAAGGTAGTGAAGGCAGTGAAAGGGATGGGATTTCTGCACACATACATGCATACATCCTTACCTGTGTGTCTTCTGTCTCAGCAATTGTTTATTGTGTTCTACCAATATTAATTATAAAGCAAATTTAATTGCAGTGTTAACACAGAGCAAATTTTTACAGAGTATATTTTGTTTTCTTATTACAAAGTTGGAGATGCACTATCATGATTTAAAAAAAAATCTTCAGCTAGACATTGGATGAGAAGAGGCTAGAGTCATGACTAGCACTTTGGAAGAAACAGCCACAAACTTCCAGGAAAAAATGACTTGAGTCATACTTTAAAAGTATATGAAAAAATGTTTGTGCCTGAGACATAGCATATCTTTTCATAATACATTTTCCTATCCTTAGGTGGCTTTGCAAAGGTCAAACTTGCCTGCCATATCCTTACTGGAGAAATGGTAGCTATAAAAATCATGGATAAAAATGCACTTGGGGTAAGTTTAAAATTATTTTAAAAATATTCTACTAATAATAAGTTTTGTGAATTAAAACTTGAATTTGCTCTAATGTTCTAGTTACTTCTATTTATTTATTTAGAGACAGGATCTTGCTGAGTCATCCGTGCTGGAGTGCAGAGGTGCGATCATAGTTTACTGCAGCCTCAAACATTAGGGCTCAAGGTATTCTCCTTCCTTAGCCTCCTTAGTAGCTAGTACTGTAGGTGTGAGCCTCCAGGCCTGGCCTGCTCTTTTCTTAGAATAGTATTTTTTTTTTTCTTTCTTTTTTTTGTTGAGTTGGAGTCTCACTTTGTCGCCCAGGTTGGAGTGCAGTGGCATGCTCACAGCCACTGCAGCCTCAACCTGTTGGACTCAGGCGATCCTTCCCCCTCAGCCTTCCAAGTAGCTGGAACCACAGGCATATGCCACCATGCCTGGCTAATTTTTATTGATTTATTGTAGAGATGAGGTCTCACCAATTTGCCCAGGCTGGTCTTGGATCCATGGGCTCAGGCAATCCTCTCACCTTGGCCTCCCAAAGTGCTTGGATTATTGGCGTGAGCCACTGTGCCCGGCTACTTTTTAATTTTTGATATAAGTGCTGGTTAACATATATAAGTAAGTCAAAGGGAATATAAGTAGTTTTTATAGGTTTGTCATTCAATTCTTTGAATTCCTTCCAAAATATATACTGAAATCACATAGTGGCCTGTATCAGAAATTATTTTTAATAATCTACCAACTGACAATTCAGGATCTCCTTCCATTTTAATGTTGTTGTTTTTTTTTTTTAGTGCTCAGAACTATATTTATTAACCTAATAAGCATTAAAAAGTTTTTTCTTGAGCATTTCAACATTGAGTACAAATTTGATTAATTTTCTTGAGAAATTTAAATTCAGTATGACTTATTCACTTTAACACTTCAAATGCTTAAATAGCAAACAAAGTGCTTGCTTTGGTAACACATATACTAAAATTGGAACAGTACAAAGAAGATTAGTATGGCCCTTGCACAAGAATGACACACACATTTGTGAAGTGTTCTTCCTAAAAATTAAAGCAAACAAAATGTGTACTGTTATTCCAAAATGTATTATCATGCTGATACACAAAACTTAAAGCATTAATATCATGACATTGTCATTATTTCTAAACTTGTTTTTATATTTTCTATTGTTATTATTTTTATTTTATTTACTTCCTAGGATCTTAATAATATTTTGAATACTTCCAGGTCTTAGTCATGAGGTTTCCCTTCAACTCCCCAAAGAAAGAAGAAAAGGATGATCATTTTAGAATAGTCAAAATTGCAGTCGATTTTTGGTGAAGACTGACATCTGGGTGAATAGTCCTAGATAATTGGATCTTGAGCCACTGATCATTAGATTTAATTCTTTTTTTTTTTTTTTTTTGAGTTGGAGTCTCACTCTGTTGCCCAGACTGCAGCCTCGACCTGCTGGGCTCTGGCGATCCTTCCGCCTCAGGCTTCCAAGTAGCCGGAATTACAGGCGTGCTCTATCACGCCCAGCTAATTTTTTGATTTATTGTAGAGATGAGGTCTCACCAAGTTGCCCAGGCGGGTCTCGAACCCGCAGAATCAGGCAATCCACTCACCTCAGCCTCCCAAGGCGCAGGATTACAGGCTGAGCCACCAAGTCCGGCAATTTATTTCTTTTAAAATATTTTATTTTTGAAAAATTTTATGTTTTTTTATTTTAAAAATTTGAGGTACGATTCAGGATTAGGTATACAGGTGGTCATCGTACAGGTAAAGTTTGGGTCTCCTGTTGGTCTCCACTTTGTCTGGTTTGAGATTAGTCACCCTTATTGATGTTGTGCCCCCACCCCCATCCCGGCAGTATTCTGCTACTGTCATTCCCTTTCTTATAGTGTTATGGTTAATGCTCAGGGTCCACTTATGAGTGAGAACATGTGATACTGTATTCTTTGTTTCTGTGATAGATCACTGAGTATGAGAGACTCTAAATCCATCCAAGTTGCTGTGAAGTTCATATGTTTGTCCTTCTTTAAGGTTGCATAATATTCCATCGTGTATATGTACCACATGTTTTTAATCCAGTCCAGTTTTGATGGGCAGCACAGTTCCATGTTTTTGCTTTTGTGAATAGTGCTGCAATAAATGTGCGTGTACAGGTATCTTTTTTTAGAATGATTTAAGTTCCTCCAGGTATATTCCCTATAGGGGGTATTGCTGGGTCATATGGAAGGTCAATGTCTAGTTCTTTTAGAAATGCCACACTGTTTTCCACAGAGATTGTACTAGTTTGCATTCCCACCAGAAGTGTAGAAGCCATCCTTTCTCTCCTCATCCTCACCAACCAGAATCTGTTGTTTGTTTTATTAATGATGGCCATTCTTACTGGGATTAGGTGGTATCTCAGTGTGGTTTTGATTTGCATTTCTTTGATGATTAGTGAGGCTGAGCACTTTTTTCATGTGTCTATTGACTGCCTGTATATTTTCTTTTGAGAAGTGTCTATTTGTGTCTTTTGCCTTTTTATTTTTTTTTTTTGAGTTTGAGTCTTACTCCATCACCAGACTGGAGTGCCCTGCACTCTGGGGATGAAGCCTACTTGGTCATGGTGAATGATTTTTGAGATGTGTTGTTGGATCTGATTTGCTAGAATCTTGTTGAGAATTTTTGCATCTATGCTCATCAGGGATATCGGCCTGTAGTTATTTTTTTTTGTTGGATCTTTATGCAGTTTGGGTATTAGTGTGATGTTATCTTCGTAAAATGATTTGGGGAGAATTCCTTCTTTCTCAATTGCCTGGAATACTTTGAGTAGGATTGGTATCAGCTCCTCCTTGTACATTTTGTAGAATTCTGCTGGAAAACCATCTGGTTTAGGTAGTTTTCTTATGACTGAGTCAATTTCCTGGGTTGTTATTGATCTATTTAGTGTCTCATTGTCTTCTTGTTTCAACCTTAGGAGATTGAGTGATGTCAGAAAGTCTTCCATTTCATTTAGGTTATCAAGTTTTTTTTCCGTACAGGTGTGCATAGTAATCTCCGATAATCTTTTGTATTTTTTTGAGGTCAGTTGTGATTTAATCTTTTGCAATTCTGATTGTGTTTGGGCTTTTTCTTGGTCATTCTGGGTAGGATCTATCAAACTTGTTTATTCTTTCAAATAATCGGCTTTTTGTTTTGTTTTTTTTTTCCTATATTTTTGTCTTCCATGTCCTGTATTTGGACTTTTACTTTGGTGGTCTGGATTATTCTGCTAAAGTTAGGGTTTTGGTGGTCTTGTCTTTTCAACTCCCTTAGGTGATTTGTTAGGCTATTAACTTGTGATCTTTCCATTTTCCTGTTAAATACGTAAAATTGTACTTTAGATAAACAAAGTTTTACTTGCTACTTCATGGGCTTTCTGGCTTTGTCTTTTTTTTCTTTTTTTTTTTTTGAGTCAGAGTCTCACTTTGTTGCCCAGGCTGGAGTGCAGTGGCATGTTCATGGCTGCTACAGCCTCTTCCTGCTGGGCTCAGGCAATCCTTCTGCCTCAGCCTTCCAAGTAGCTGGAATTACAGATGCACCTACCTCATCCGGCTTATTTTTTGATTTATTGTAGAGACGAGGTCTCATCAAGTTGCGCAGGCTGGTCTTGAACCCCTGAGCTCAGATAATTCTTTCGCTTCGGCCTCCCAAATTGCTGGGATTACAGGCTTGAGCCACCACACCTGGCCCAGTTTCTGTCTTTTAAAATTTTTTCAGGTTGACTTATCCTCCCCAACTAACTTTAATTTGAAAAATTTCCAACGCCAGAAAAGTTAGAAGACTAAGCCAGTTAATACCCACATATCTTTTACCTGAATTCACTGGTTTTTAGCTCAGCATGCTTCTAAAGGCACATTGCTGAAACGGAAAATAGTGGTCCAGGCATGATAATTGAGTGGAGTGTGTCTTCCAATTTCCTTGTTTGAAATGCTAACCTTCTAAAGGAGTCTGAGATTGTTTTCTGGATGTAGAACTATTGACCCACAATAGATTTCGTAAAATCTCTAAGGCCTTTTTTAAATGTACATACAAATAAGTTTGTTATATTTTTCTGTATTGTTGAACAGTTCTTTTGGAGTTGTTTTTTTTTTTTGAGTCGGAGTCTCACTCTGTTGCCCAGACTGGAGTGCAGTGGGCGCTCCTGGCCACCACAGCCTCGACCTCCTGTGCTCCGGTGATCCTTCTGCCTCAGCCTTCCAAGTAGCTGGAACTACAGGTGTGCGCTACCACGCCCGGCTAATTTTTGATTTATTGTAAAGATGAGGTCTCGCCAAGTTGCCCAGGCAGGTCTCGAACCCGCGGGCTCAGGCAATCCACTCACCTCAGCCTCCCAAAGGCACGGGATTACAGGCTGAGCCACTGAGCCCGGCTTGGGGTTGTTGATAGCTCTTGCTACATAGTATTAAAGGTGTTGATATTGATGCTGATATTGTTCAGGAATACAACCTGAACAAGTTTATTGTTCATTCCATGTGATGTTTTGTCACAGAGTGATTTGCCCCGGGTCAAAACTGAGATTGATGCCTTGAAGAACCTGAGACATCAGCATATATGTCAACTGTACCATGTGTTAGAGACAGCCAACAAAATATTTATGGTTCTTGAGGTTAGTAGTATGTTCCAGAGACCTACCAATATTTGAGTAACATATTATTTCATCAGTAGTAAAAGAGAAAAGTACATATCACCTGAAAGATTAGAATAGATGTTAAGTGGCTTACTTGTTCTGTCTGTAACAAGTTAGAACAAGTAGACATATATAATAAGTTAGAGTTTCATTGTGGATATAGTCTTTCTAATATACACCTAATGGGAAATAGTATGGTTTAGTGGATAGGATATGTTAGGAAACATACCTTATGAGGGAAAGATTCATTTCAGTTTTATATGGTGAGTTAATTTACTAGGGCTGTTGTAGCAAATTAACATAAACTTGTTGACTTAAAACACAGAAATTTATTGTCTTAAGATTCTGAAGGCTTGAAGTTTGTTATCAAGGTGTGAGTAAGGTTGAGTCCTTCTGGAGTTTCTGAGGGAGAATCTGTTCCCTGCGTGTTTCCTAGTTTCTGGTGGTTGCTGGCAATCCTTGGCTTATAAATGTACCACTCTAGTCTCGGCTTCTGTCTTCAAATGGTGTTTTCCTTTCTTTGTGTCTGTGTCTCTGTCCAAATTTCCCTCTTCTTGAAAGGACCTGAGTCATTGAATTAGGGCCTGCCTTAATCCCATGTGACCTCATTATAACTTGATTGCATCCACAGAGACTCTCTTTGCAAATAAATTCACATTCATAACTACCTAATATTAGTACTGGAACATATCTTTTTGGAGGACACAGTTCAACCCACAGCATGTGGGTAGCTTCCAGTATGTGTTACGCAAACCAGGCTCTTACAAGTTTTGACCTACTCCTTTTGTCTTGAAACAGAAGTCTTTACAACTTGCATCATTCTTCTCATTTTGTTTTTTCTTAGTCTCAACCAAATGGTTTGTAACTACACATCATTTTCTAGGTTAGCGCTTTTTTTGTTTTTGAATTGGAGTCTTACTCTGTTGCCCAGGCTGGCGGGCAGTGACATGCTCATGGCCACCGCAACCTCAACCTGCTGGGCTCAGGTGATCCTTTTGCCTCAGCCTTCCAAGTAGCTGGAACCATAGGCATGAGGCTCCACACCTGGCTAATTTTTTTTTTTTTTAATGTAGAGATGAGGTCTTGCCAAGTTTTCCAGGCTGGTCTCGAACCCATGGGCTCAGGCAATCCTTTCACCTCGGCCTCCTAAAGTACTGGGATTATAGGCCTGATCCACCATGCCTGGCAGTTAGCTTTGTTTTAAATGTGTATTTTAAAATTCATAAAGTTGAATATTTTTGACCTAGAGTTATTTCTCCCCCCCCTTTTTTAAAGATAGAGTTGGGGTCTTGCTATGTTGCCACCTAGTCTGGTCTTGAACTCCTGGTTTTAAGTGATCCTCCTGCTTCAGCCTCCCTAAGTGCTGGGATTACAGGTGTGGATCACTGTGCCCAACTGTTTTTATTACATTGTAAGTCCACCTACACTGATGATTTTATTTTATTTATTTTTATTTTTTGAGTTGGAGTCTCACTCTGTTGCCCAGATTGCAGTGCAGTGACCGCTCCCGGCCACCGCAGCCTCGACCTGCTGGGCTCTGGTGATCCTTCCGCCTCAGCCTTCCAAGTAGCTGGAACTACAGGCATGTGCTACCATGCCTGGCTAGTTTTTGATTTATTGTAGAGATGTGGTCTAGCCAAGTTGCCCAGGCGGGTCTTGAACCTGCGGGCTCAGGCAGTCCACTCACCTTGGCCTTCCAAACCGCAGGATTACAGGCTGAGCCACCGAGCCCAGCTACACTGATGCTTTTAAAACCTTTTTATTTTTGTTCAAATTAAATTTTTGAAAAACAAAACTTCTGTGAACCTAGGACAAAATTTAAAAGGTATAAGAGAGTATATTGTATATATAAAAAAATAAAATCCTCTCTCCCTTGTATTCCAGTCATCCAGTTTCCTTTCCTCTGGGTCCTTCACTTTTTTCTTGTGTACACAAACACACATATAAAAAATACACTCACATATGTAAAATATATGTAGGTATCCACATATAAAAATACACTCATATATATGTATTTTTATGTGTTTGTGTGTATAGGTAATAGATTTTAATCATATAAATGCTCACAACTATGATATTGCTTTGTACCTTTTTAACGTTTTAGCTTGGAGATGATCTATGTACGCTCAGAGATTTTAGATGTTTTTGCTTCTCTTTATTTTGTATTTCTTTATTTGAAAATATGAAGTAAGCTGTTTTCTTTTTGTAAAACTTACTGGATAGCATTTAAAAAATTTACTATTGAGGTATAATTTACTTCAAAATGTACACGAGATATGCAGCTTGACAAATGCATAGACTTTGTACTACCCACCCCAGAGTATAAAATGTTTTGATCCCCCAGAAAGTTTTCTCTCATGCTTTTGAAGTTATTTTCTGTAATGGCGCCCACCCTGCCCTTACCAGCAACCACTAATCTGACTTTTATCACCACAGTTTAATTTTACCTGCTCTAGAATTTGATGTAAATGAATCACAGAGTTTGTATTCTTGTATGACTTTTAAAATTTGTATTCTATTTTTTATTTTTGTATTCTATTTTTTATTTTTTATATTTTGTATTCTATTTTTTTTTTTTTTTTTTTTTTTTGAGTTGGAGTCTCACTCGGTCGCCCAGACTGGAGTGCAGTGGCCGCTCCCAGCCACCGCAGCCTCGACCTGCTGGGCTCCGGTGATCCTTCCGTCTCAGCCTTCCGAGTAGCCGGAATTACAGGCATGCGCTATCACGCCCAACTGATTTTTTGATTTATTGTAGAGATGAGGTCTCGCTGCCCAGGCGGGTCTTGAACCCGCGAGCTCAGGCAATCCACTCATCTCAGCCTCCCAAAGGCGCGGGATCACAGGCTGAGCCACCGAGCCCAGCTGTATTCTATTTTTTTATTTGTATTTTTAAAATTTGTATTCTAGTCTGGCTTTTTTTGCTCAGCATAATGCTTTTGCAGGTAACTGTATCAGTATATACTCTTTTTCTTTTTCTTTTTTTTGAGTTGGAGTCTCACTCTGGCACCCAGACTGGAGTGCAGTGGCACACTCATGGCCTCTGCAACCTTGACCTTCTGGATTCAGGCAATCCTTCTGCCTCATCCTTCCAGGTAGCTGGAACTAGAAGAGTGCACCCTGAGGCCCAGCTAATTTTTTGATTTATTGTAGAGACCAGGTCTTACCAAGTTGCCCAGCCTGGTTTCGAACCCCTGGGCTCAGGCAGTCTCCTTGCCTCTGCCTCCGAAAGTGCTGGGATTACAGATGTGAGCCACTGCACCCAGCCAATATTATACTCTCGCACTTTGTTTTTTGTACCTAATACTGGACATTTTTTCCAAATTAGTTCCTAAAGAGCTTCTTCTTATTATTTTTAAATCACTGCCTGGTATTCTATTTTATAGCCATGTCATACTTTATGTAGCGTGAACATTTGGGTTGTTGCTATGGTCTGGATGTTGATGTCTTCCCATAATTCATATGTTGGAACTTAATCCCCGATGTGGTAGTTTTAAGATGTTGGGGCCTTTACGAAGTGATTAAGTCATCAGGGTAAATCCCTTATGAATGGGATTAGTGTTCTTATAATCGAGGCTTGAGGGAGGCTGTTTTCTCCCTTCAACCATGTGAGCACACATAGCACATGCCGACTGTGAGCAAAGAGAACTCACTAGACGCCAAGTTTGCTGGCACCTTGATGTTGGACTTCCTAGCCTCCAGAACTGTGAGCAATAAATTTCTGTTGTTCATAAACTAATAACCCAGTATAAGCTATTTTGTTGTGGCAGCCTGAATGGACTAAGACAGTTGTTTTGTCTTTTGTTTTTGTTTTTTTTTGTTTTGAGTTGAAGTCTCACTCTGTCGCCCAGACTGGAGTGCAGTAGCCGCTTTCGGCCACTGCAGCCTTGACCTGCTGGGCTCCGGCGATCCTTCCGCCTCAGCCTTCTGAGTAGCCGGAATTACAGGCGCGCGCTACCACGCCCGGCTAATTTTTTGATTTTATTGTAGAGATGAGGTCTTGCCTGCCCAGGTGGGTCTCGAACCTGCGGGCTCAGGCAGTCCACTCACCTCAGCCTCCCAAAGGCGCAGGATTACAGGCTGAGCCGCCGAGCCCAGCTTGTCTTTTGTTTTTACAATGTTGCTGTGGCGAACTATCTTTAATGTGCATTGTTTATGATGTGGGTTGAGTACACCTATAGGAACAGTAACTAAAGGTAGAACTATGAGGTCAAGCCTATATGCAGTTATACTTTTAATTGATAATGCCATAATGGAATGAATTCTTAAATGCTAACCCAGTTTACAGAAGAGTGGAGTTGCCTTGGAGAAAGGATGGAAAGTCTCAAGGTTTATGCAGCCTCTGAGCTACCTCTAGATTTGGGCTTTTTCTGGAACAGGTTGAAAGTCACTGGTCTTTGGGATGGAGAAACAATAATTATTGCTGGGTTTTAAAATTTCAGGTAATTACATTAAATGTGAGTTCATTAAGATGAGAATGAGTTTTAGTACTTTGCTATAAAAATATAAAACCCTGAATGAGCTTTTTAAAGTCACAGTGGTAGCTGGTTTTACTTCTATTTATTGGTAATAAAACTGCTCGAGGAAAGAGTTATTGTTCTCATTCCTGGAATAATTATTGACTTGTGTGAGCCTGAGAGTGTATTTTTGAATATGTCTTACTCAAGTCCCTTGCCTATAAAGTTGAATTAATAATGTCTCTGAGTTAAGGTTTACTTTTTTATTTAAAATTCTTGTGAAGTGACTTTTGTAAGTTATAAAAATATCTCTGTGACTTTTGCTGTTAAAGTACTGCCCTGGAGGAGAGCTGTTTGACTACATCATTTCCCAGGATCGCCTGTCAGAAGAGGAGACCCGGGTTGTCTTTCGTCAGATAGTATCTGCAGTTGCTTATGTGCACAGCCAGGGCTATGCTCACAGGGACCTCAAACCAGTAAGAGACTGCATCATAGTCAAAAGCTCACCTGAGAGTTTGTCATCTTCTGTCTGTTATTTTTAGGTTTCCAAATGTTCTTTCTGTTTTGGAATCTATTTTAGCTTTGGGTTTTTGTTGTTGTTGTTGTTCCAGTAAGTACCACATTTCTTTTTCCTCCTTTACTTTTGACTTGTGGTAGACTTTTTGGATGGACTTATTAGCATTCTATTTATCTGTCAATTATTTGTGAAATTATAAATGTCTTTGTAGTCAGGATTGAGTATTTTATATGATTATATTGAATCCTTGAACATTTTCTATTCAGTGCTCTTTTCCTAATCTCATCTTTCTTTAATTTAAATTCCATTATGCCTCAGAAAGGAACAGTTCAATGGAATGGACAGGCTCTACTTTTTAAGGAAAGAATAAAAATGTGAATACTCTTTAGGTCTGCAGGCTCTGACTAATGTGGGTGGTGGTAAATATGGATTTAAATGTTACTTAATGGCCAGGCACGGTAATCCCAGCAATTTGGGAGGCCAAGGCAAGAGGATTGCCTAAACTCAGGGATTTGAGACCAACCTGGGCAATTTGATGAGACTTCTTCTCTACAATAAATAAAAAAATAAGCTGGGCATGGTAGAACACGCCTGTAGTTCCAGCTACTTGGGATGCTGAGGCGGAAGGATCATGGTGAGCACAGCAGGTCAAGACTGCAGTGACTGTGAGCATGCCACTGCACTCTAGCCTTGGCAACAGAATGAGACTTCAACTCAAAACCCCAAACCAAAACAAAAAAATTAAATGTTGCTTGATACCTAGAATTAGTTCGAGAAGGTATTACTAGTGTAACTGTCCTTTTCCATCTGTTTATAACTAACTCTTCGATTTGAGCTCACTCATTTGGTTTCAACTTGCTTTTGACACAAGTGATGTTTGCTTGTAGTTGAACCTTAGGGCATCAGGGAGGACATGGCTTATGTCAGTATGTCTTGAGGAAATATGATGGAATTACCAACATTCCTCCTCTTTCCCCTCCTGTACTTATTGTCATTTCATTAATTTTTAGTTATTTTCACTCTTGTAATATTGGTAAATTTAAATGTTTAATTTTTGTAGGGATGTGATCTTGCTATGTTGCCCTCGCTGGTCTCGAACTCCTGGCCTCAAGTAATCCTACTTCAGCCTCCCCAAAATGCTGGGATTACAGGCATGGGCTACCATGCCCAGTTGAGGCTTTTTAATATAAACAAGCTTAAATCATTTTTAGAAATGGCTAGAGGTGGGATGCGATATAAGGAAGTCAGTATATAGTTCTCACAATATCTTCATTTTTCCAGGAAAATTTGTTGTTTGATGAATATCATAAATTAAAGCTGATTGACTTTGGTCTTTGTGCAAAACCCAAGGTAAGTGCAGAAATAAAAATGCATTTATTTTCTTTGTAAATGCATCTTTTAGTGTGGTATCTTGCCCTGAATTCCACTTACTTTTTGTTGAGCCTGATTGCATCCATTGAGAATACTGTTAAATTTCATCTCTGGGCATTGGTAATATTTGTAAGTTCTCTGGATTATTCTAACATGTAACCAAGATTGAGAGCCACTGCTTCAGTCCAGGCTCCTGCTGAAGACCCCCATGGGTGTGCTGTGAGAATTTACAGTGCAGAGGTGACATGAGGCCATTATATCAGGAAAGCGAATTGACAATGTGCTCGTTATTGGAGTATGTTGCCATAGATGCTATCTTTGTTTATTTAGATAAAAGTTGAGAATTTAGTGCAGTCTCCCCTTTGTTATCTAAATGGTTTTATAACTAACAATTAGTTACATTTTGAAAGATAATCCCTTTCCCTCATAAAAGAAGGAAAATGTCCATATGCACTTCTAAATTTATACCATTATGTATTCCTTAATTTGCATTCCTTAGTTAAGAATGGTTTTCTCTAGCACAATTCTATTTGAGGTGACTTTGAGCTTCCCAGCTCTGCTGTCTGCAGCAGATCTCCTGTGTGGCTGCCTGTTGGAGGCTTCCTCCGGAGTTCTCTAATCATGGTACTCACAGTCTCTAAAATGAGCTGTCTACACTCATTAAGAATTTTGAAATTGCATACTTGTCTCAGCCCTTTGTAGTCCCATGATTATTTCCTGCCCCGATCAGAATTAGCTAGGTGCAGAGAAGCAGATCTTGCCCCTTTGGCTGAATGTCTAATTCTTTCTGATTCTCTTCTCTCTCCCTTGGCTCTGTGGAGATTATCAGTGGGACCTTTTGTCTGGGAAACAAATGCTAGAAGGCATTTTTTTTTTTGATCAGCAGTATATAAAGAGAAAACATACTCTGAACAGATAAACTAGTTTGTGTCATGCTCTCCACAGAAGGCAGTGGCAAAGGTTTGTGGCAGACTCCTTGAGCCTTTATTTATGGCACCCCAGATTTGGCCCACAGACTCCATCTCAGAAAGCGGGGGTTGCCTGGTAGAGGATTGCCTCAACCTTCTGTTGAGGCGCTCACTCCTGAGCATGTTGTAAATGAAATCTCACAATTTCACAAGTCCTCTGCCAGCTGTAGCACTCTATACAGGTGTTGGGCAGTAGTTTTATTTCATTATGTCTTGATGTTTCTGTGGGAAGGCAGAGGAGGATGGGCAGATTTCTCATTTTAACAGATCTGGAAGCTAAGGTAGTGATTTGTCTTATAACTAAGTCTAGAAAACAGATTCTCAAGGCACTGTTCTGTACGATATTTTTTTTTCCCTCTAAGAAAAAATAAGTTCTCTGTTTGTAAAGATTTGACATTGGAGATAGGGTCCAGTAAAGAAATGCATATAAGCCATAAAAAGAGAAAACATACTTTTTTTCCTCAGATACTTGGGAATCAGAAGACATGGGTGCTTGATGTATGCTAGGCTGATTATTATGTGAGTGGTTACCTAGGGAAATATGAATCTGTCTTGATTAAGAACTAAGGGGAAGATTTGTTTGTGCCAGGTTGTAGTGGAGTTGGAAATCCCGAGACGCAAAGAGCACATGTGCATGCACACATGTATGTACAGAGTACTGGGTTGGCTGCCGAAATCCCTGTTTATTTGAGGTAGTTCTTTATCTAGCCTCTCTCTGCTGTACTCGGAAAATGTTTATCAAGATTTAATTCTCCTAAGGACTGTAATTCATAAGTGTTTCATTTTTATCTTATTGGCAGGGAAACAAGGATTACCAACTACAGACATGCTGTGGGAGTCTTGCTTATGCAGCACCAGAATTAATACAAGGCAAATCATATCTTGGATCAGAGGTAATTATTCATTGATTAATTCACTATAAATCAACATACATTTATTGGTAACCTGTAATGAGTCAGGCACTGTGTGCTGGGGGTCTCGTGATGAAGTGAGAAATAATCTTGTTGCCAGGCACGGTGACTCATGCCTATAATCCCGGCACTTTGGGAGGCCAAGGTAAGAGGACTCCCTGAGCCCATGGGTTCGAGACCAGTCTGGGCAACTTTGTGAGACCTCATCTCTACAGTAAATCAAAAAATTAGCCCGGTGTGGTGGTGTGTGCCTGTGATGCCAGCTACTTGGAAAACTGAGGTGGAAGGATCACTTGAGCCCAGCAGGTTGAGGCTGAGGTGTCCATGAGTGTGCCACTACACTCCAGTCTGGGCACAGAGTGAGATTACCACTCAAAAAAAAAAAAAGAAATAATATTATTAATTAAAGAGTTCAGTCTATTTGGAGAGTGAGATATGTAAACTAATAAATGGAACTAATAACTTACAGTAAATATAATACATAATGCACTTATGAAGCAGAGACGTATTTCTGGTGTCTTTTTCATGGTTGCTTTTGTATTAAACAGTACCGTAGTTTGGACTGGTTAGTCCAGTTGGGTAGAGCACAAGCCAGGGTTGCAGGCTCAGTTTCAGAGATGCTGATTAGCACAGAGGAAACCTGAACTTTGCTCATGGCCGCCATTCTGAGGCCAGCAGTCCTGCATAGGTGTCCAGGCTTGGAAGGCTTGGGTTTTGTCTGCTTTTATACCTGCTACCTCAGGCTAGTTTACTGCTCCGTTCTCTAGAATACTAGTTTTGCTGATGTTAGTATTATAAGGTAAAAGAAAAAAAACTATAGTTATCCAAAGCTTGGGAAGTGCTGGGTTGAATAGGTTTCTGATTTCAGAACATCTCCAAATCTTTAATCTACTCTTGTATAATGTGTTTCTTTGGGAAGAGAATATCACAGGTAACAGCTGGTTCAGATTTTATTGCCTATGGAATCCACTTTTGAGGAGGAACATCTTTTGGAACTAGTGTTATGTGAGAGAAACTCAGGAAAATACCAGGTTACTTACTTTATAACATGAAAAGATGGAAACTGTTTTTGGTTACTTTTAATTTTAATAAAATCTCAAATTTAGAGAATAGTGCAAAAATTGAATGAGAAACTTTGGTGTACCTTTTGCTAAAATTCACAATTGTTTATATTTTTTCGTACTTGCTTTATCTTTCTGTGCATGTTACATATATATGCACACATAACTATATATGAGCATATTATTATTTTTTTGAACCATTTGAGAGTGAACTACAGACATCATATCTCTTTATCACTCAGTACATCTGTATGTATTTCCTAAAAGCAAAAGGCCTTTTTTTTAGTCAGAGTCTCACTTTGTTGCCTAGGCTGGAGTGCAGGCCACAGCCATCGCAGCCTCGAACTGCTAGGCTCAGGTGATCCTTCTACCTCAGCCTTCCAAGTAGCTGGAACTACAGACATGCATCAGGATGCCCGGCTAATTTTTTTGATTTATTGTAGAGACAAGGTCTTGCCAAGTTGCCCAGGCTGGTCTCGAACTCTTGGGCTTAGGTATTCCTCTAGCCTCTGCCTCCCAAAGTGCTGGGATTACAGGCATGAGCCACCATGCCCGGCTTTTTTTTTTTTCTTTAGTGAGTCAGAGTCTCATTCTGTTGCCCAGGTTGGAGTGCAGTGGCACACTCACAGCCACTGCAGCAGCCTCAGCCTGCTGGGCTCAGACAGTCCTTCCACTTCAGCCTTCCAAGTAGCTGGAACTACAGACACGTGCCACCATGCTTGGCTAATTTTTTGATTTATTGTAGAAATGAGATCTTGCCAAGTTGCCCAGACTGGTCTCCAACTCTTGGACTCAGGCAATCTTCTTGTTTTGGCCTCCCAAAGTGCTGGGATTACAGGCATGAGCCAATTTACCTTTTATTTTATTTATTTATTTATTTTGTTGAGTTGGGATCTCACTCTGTCGCCCAGGCTGAATTACAGTGTCATGCTCATGGCTACCACAGCCTCGACCTGCTGGGCTCAGGCAATCCTTTTGCCTTAGCCTTCCAAGTAGCCGAAACTGTTGGTATGCGCTACCATGTCCAGCTAATTTTTGATTTATTGTAGAGACCAGGTCTCATCAAGTTGCCCAGGCTGGTCTTGAACCTGCGGGCTCAGGCAGTCCACTTGCCTCGGCCTCCCAAAATGCTGGGATTGCAGGCTGAGCCACCGAGCCCAGCCTGACCTTGTCTTTTATAACCACACTTTAGTTATCAAAATCAGGAAATTTAACATTGATACAATTTATTTTAATGCATAATCCATATTCAAATGATGTTAGTTGCACCAGTAATGTCTTTATAGTCTTATTTCTCCCCAAGATTTGGTCCAGGTTTTGGTCCAGGATCACACATTGCATTTAGTTATTGTGTATTTTTAGTCTTTGATTTGGAAGACTTCCTTAGGCTTTCTTGTTTTTCCTTGACCTTGATATTTTTTAGGAAGCCAGCTATTTAGTAGGATGTCCGTCGATTTGAATTTGTTTGATATTTTCTTACATTTTTGGCAGAAATGCCAAAGAAATGGTGTTAGTGCATCATAGGAAAGGGAATAAACTTTTACTGAGCATTTATCATAGTCCTGGAATTATGCTAGATACTTTTGATTTTTAATTTTGGTAGAATACACATATCAAAATTTACCATCTTGGCAATTTTTAAATGTACAGTCCAGTAGTGTTTAAGGACATACACATTGTTGTATAACCAATCTCCAGAGCTCTTTCCATCTTGCTAAACTGATGAAAATTAAACTGAGGTTTAATTACCCATTAAACAATAACCGTCCTTTTCCATCTATCCCATGCCCCTGGCAACTCCCCTTCTATTTTCTGTCTCTGTGAATTTGACTCCTCTAGGATCCTCATACGAATGGAATCATATAGTAGTTGTCTTTCTGACTGGCTTATTTCACTTAGCATAATGTCCTCAAAGATCATCCATGCTGTAGCATGTGTCAGAATTTTCTTCCTTTTTTAATGCTGAACAATATTTCATTTTATACATATATATACACCACATTTTGTTTATTCATTCATCCATTGATACTTGGTTGCTTCCAACCTTTGGCTGTTGTGAATAATGTTAGGAGCATATGTGTACATATATCTCTTTGAGATCCTGCTTTCAGTTCTTCATGGTATTTAGCTAGGAGCGAAATTGCTGAATCATATGGGTCATTCTATTGGTCATTTTTTGTGGTACTTCCATACTGTTTTCCATAGTGTCTGTACCATTTTACATTTCTATCAACAGTGCACAAAAGTTTCACATGATAAATAGCTTTTACAATTTTTATTTAAACCCCACAAAAATCCTATTCAGTGAATACAATTATCCCATTTCATAAGATAAAGAAAAGGTAGAAACTGAGGGCTCAGAAATTAGGTGGCTTCTCAGGGTCACACATCTAGTAACTATGGTCAGGATTTGAACTGAGTGAGGTACTCTTTCCACTGTTCCACTCAGTTTCCCAGAAGGAATGATAATCATATGCTAATCTCACAAGATTCCTAGAGGAATGCTTGTTTGAATGTATCTGGATTTTTCCTGTGTGATCTTAAGTTGTTTTCTTGTTTGTGTTAGTTTGACTTTCCGTTGACATTTTCAGCGTCTTAAGAACAGTGTACTGAGGAATCATCTGTGCCACTTGTAAAAAATGCAGAGCTCAAGGTAGTAACACCCTCAGAGATTTTGATTTTGTTTTCAAAAGTGGAATATTAAGACTCTTCATTTAAAAAAATAATAAAATAGTTGATTCTGATGCTCATGGTCCCAACCATGTCTTGAGGGTATTTTCCATGGCAAATATCTCTAATTCCTTCAGTAATTTCTCATGGGAATTGTTTCAAACCTCTCTTTCTCTCCAATTTTTTATTGTCAATTGGTAATTTATTCATTTACTTACATTTGTTTTGACTTATGATTTTACTTGATTATTAATTTATCGCATACCCAGTTCAAAACATGAAGTGAAGGTGCTTTGGTGAGTTAATTAAATAATATTTTTTTTCTTTTGAGTTGGAGTCTCACTCTTGTCGCTCAGGCTGGAGTGCAGTGGCATAATCACAGCTTACTGCAGCCTTGATCTCCTGGGCCCAGGCCTTTTGCTTCAGTCTCTTGAGTAGCAGGCACACATCACCATGCCCAGCTAATTTTTTTTTTAATTTAAAAAAATTTTTTATAGAGATGAGTTCTTGCTATGTTGCCCAGGCTGGTCTCAAACTCCTGAGCTCAAGCAGTCCTCTCACCTCGGCCTCCCAAAGTGTTGGGGTTACAGGCATAAGCCACTGTGCCCAGCCATTTCTGCTTTCTTCTAATAGGACTTGATAGATTTCTATGGGAATGTTGCTATCATTTTCTTTATCTTGCAGTTTAACCCTAGACATAATCTCTGTTGACCCCCTATGGTATTTGATGACACCATGGTAGCTCATTTTTTCCTGTGCAGCCCTTTGCTTTGAATTTAACAACCTGGTCATGAGTGCCATGCTTTCATGCCTCAATTTATAGATTAAATATTTGACCTCTCTGAGGTACAAATGGTCAATTTCTGACCTCCTTCAACTTGAAAGAGAAATCAGGTATTTGCTTCAAAGCAAATTGTTCACTTGAAGCATCATAGTAGAGTCCTAATAGTTTGAAGAGATTTGATAGACAGGACTAGGAGTTAGATTTGGGTTACCTAGTATAGGTACTACCTAGATGCATTATGCTGCTCATGTTATTTTAACTTTCTTTTTCTTTTTTTCTTTTTTTTTTTTTAGTGCTATCTTTTTTATCTCTTAAAATTTTTCTAAGGCTCAAATGAGGGCGGTGTCATTATTGACTAAAGCCAAATACTGCTTGCAATAGTTACTGCTTAGGACTTTTGGGACACATGAATAGCCCATGTAAAGGTTAAGCTCTTTTCTGGGATTTTGAGATTTGTAAGACTATTTGTGCTGGCAGGCTAATTTCTAGCTTCTATATTTAAAGAGTCAATCATTGAACTTTATTAAAGTTTCTGTACGTAGAGAGGATTTTACAGTGCAGCTTAGTCATATTTGCAGACTATCAATACATTTTAAGACTTGTTTTGACATCGTTACGCTTGTTTACATAATCCTCATATGTAACCTAAACATTTAGTAGTGCTGCAGAATTGTCTTTCAGAATTAGAGTCCTGGCCTCATCTTCTTACCTTGTCCAATTCAGCCCAGCCAACTGGAAATTATTTTCTATTAAGTGTTAGAGTCCAACTGGAGAGTGCACTGAACTGGAAGTTGGAAGGCCTTCCTGGGTGACTGCCATTGACTGGGTGACTTTGTGCAAGGTGTCTTTTCTGGGTTTCAAGTTTCTAACTGTAGAAAAAACAAGTTGAAGCCCCTTTCCAGCTTTGTGAAGATTCTGTGATTCTCTTGTGCTCTGCCATTCTGAAATATGTTCTGATTTTCTGTTTGAGTGATTTTTTTTCTCCCCTTCAGGCAGATGTTTGGAGCATGGGCATACTCTTGTATGTACTTATGTGTGGATTTCTACCATTTGATGATGATAATGTCATGGCTTTATACAAGAAGATTATGGTGAGTATTACAAGGCCTAGAATTTCAGTGTAAATTTCCTGTACTGCATACTGTATGATTCCATTTATAAAGCACAAAAGCAGACAAAAGTAATCTATGTGGTTAGAAGTCAAGATAATAGTTATTCTTTGGTGGTAGTTAAGAGGGGAGTGGAGGGGTTTGTTGATCTGAGTGCTGGGTACACTTGTATACAGTAGTTCCCCCTTATCTGTGGCTTCATGTTCTGAGGTTTCAGTTACCCATAGTCAACTGTGGTCTGAAAATGGTGAGTATAGTGCAATAAAGTACTTTGAGGGAGAGAGAGAAAGACCACATTCACATAACATTTATTACAATTTTTTGTTATAATTGTTCTATTTTATTATCAGTTTTTGTTGTTAATCTTTTCTTGTGCCTAATTTATAAATTAAACTTTATCATAGTTATGTATGTATAGGAAAAAACATAATATATAGGGTTTGGTACTATCTGTGGTTTCAGGCATCTACTGGGGGCCTGGGAATATATCACCCGCTGATAAGGAGGAATACTGCATTCAGTTTTTGAAAAGTTATCAAAGTGTATTCTTATAATATGTGCACTTCTATAATTATATCATACCTCTTTCGTAAAAAGCTTAACAAGGCTGGGCTCAGTAGCTCAGCTTGTAATCCCATCACCTTGGGAGGCCAAGGCAAGTGGATTGCCTGAGCCCACAGGTTCGAGACCCACCTGGACAACCTGGCGAGACCTCATCTCTACAATAAATAAAAAATTAGCCAGACGTGGTAGTGCGCGCCTGTGGTTCCAGCTACTTGGAAGGCTGAGGCAGAAGGATTGCCAGAGCCCAGCAGGTAGAGGCTGCAGTGGCCAGGAGCATGCCATTGCACTCCAGTCTGAGTGACAGAGTGAGACTCCAACTCAAAAAAAAAAAAAGAAATAAAAAGATTAACAAAACAAAAACAAACAGTAAGTATTCTGTATTTTAGGCTGCCCCTAAACTGAGGTAATATGTAAGATGATTTTCCTGGTAAGAGCTTTTGTTTTGTATCCTGAAATGATAACCTTAGCAAGCAGCTGTGTTAAATCACGTTTTCCTATTGAGTTATGGTAACATAAGAAACTCCCCTTTTCTGGTTTTGAAAGGTTAAAAAGTTGGCTTTAAGGTAAGTAAAACCACAGTTAAGATTATCTACCGTAAGCTTTGTTAAAATTATATATATCAGAAACAGAATGTAGATTAGTTTTTGCTTGTGCATTGGAGGTTGGGATGATGAAAGCATTCTGGAATTAGATAGTGGTGATGTTTGCAGAGCTTTGTGAATATATTAAAATCCACACTTTAAAATTATGAATTTTATAGTTGGTATGTAAATTATATTCAGTTAAAAAATAAGAAAAATCATGTATGGCAAGGAAAATAGTAAAATTATTTTAAAAGTTATTATTTCAAGCAAGCTAACAAAAGGCCAGGCATGATAGTGGCTCATGCCTGTAATTCTAGTACTTTGGAAGGTTGAGGTGGGAAAATCGTTTGAAAGAGCATCATGTTGTGTCCCACTACAAATCAAGGTCAGACCAGCAGAGCAGCTCTGAATGCTGCTCTAATCCAATTCCGTTTAACAAATATTTCCAATTTTTGTTTTGTATAAGATACTGAAAGGCATGGATAAAGATCTATGAAACTTGATTTCTTGTCTGATTTCTTGTTGGAGACAGCTGTAAGGGTATCTAAAAAGGCCAAGGGTGAGAAATGCCATATTATAAATGCCATATTTATACCAAAGTATAAATGAGGTTAATGTAGGAGTGGAGGTGGAATCTGGGAGGACATCTTAGAGGAAGTGAGATTTGAGCAGGGCTTTAAAAGAAGGGTGGAAGTACTTCAGAAAAGGATGTGGGCAAGAGCATTCTTGGTAGCACAGGGACGGTATGAACAAAGACATAAAGAGGGGAGAGACATGGGGAGGAGCAGTCAGAAATTTTATGTTCTGGACTGTTGGGTCTCTGACACCATTATGTGGGGAGACTACCAAAATCAACTCCTATTTCTGGGAAATAGCACACAGGGTTGAAAGTGATAGTCTCACTAGGCTTGTTGCTTGCCCTGTAGAACACCAGATCTATGGGCACTGAGTTCAGTCTTTAATTTTTGTTTATTTGACTTAGTAGTTTTTTTCCCTGGAAAGCTCTTTAAAATTGATTTCCAAACTTCGTTTAGTTTTTTTTTAAATTATAGAGACAAGGTCTTACTATGTTGCCCAGGCTGGTCTTGAACTCCTGGACTCAAGTGATCCTCTTGCCTTAGCCTCCCAAAGTACTGGGATTACAGTTTTGAGCTGTCATATTCAACTGATTCCAAGCTGTAGAGAATGGTTTTGGGAAGAGATGGAATTGCAGTAGTTCCAACTCCTTGAAGGCCAAGGAGCTGTAATTCTGCAAGGTCAAAGAAAAGTAGTTTTAGCAGTAGCTCTTTTTTTTTTTGTGTTGGAGTCTCACTCTGTCACCCAGACTGGAGTGCAGTGGCCGTTCCCGGCCACTTCAGCCTCCACCTGCTGGGCTCCAGGGGTCCTTCCGCCTCAGTCTTCCAAGTAGCTGGAACTACAGGCGCGCGCTACCACGGCCGGCTCATTTTTGATTTATTGTAGAGATGAGGTCTTGCCAAGTTGCCCAGGCGGGTCTCGAACCCGCGGGCTCAGGCAATCCACTCACCTCAGCCTCCCGAAGGGGCGGGATTACAGGCTGAGCCACTGAGCCCGGCTAGCAGTAGCTCTTAACACTGCAGTAGGGAGCTATGTGTGCTCATGCTTCTTCCTGGGAGAGAGAGAGAAGTGGGGCAGTGTGCTGGAGGTCGGCCTCCTGGAGCCTACTGGTGTAGCCAAGACAGCTGCATTTCCTCCCATTTCTTCTTCAGCCTCCTCTAAGCTTTGCGGGATAGCAACTGATGCTTTGACTCTTGCTTGCTGACTTTGGCAGTAGCTCCCGACTATGTAGAGCCACACCCCACTGTGTCAACAGCAGGATACAGAGGGAAGTAGTGTTAGGATTGCCTTGTGGCTTCAGGTTTAATCAACAGAAATGGTCTTTGGGCAGCTCAGGAACATTTTTCTAGTTATGCTTTAAAAAAAATACTTGGTTGGCTTCTTGAATTCTTCCCTCTTTTTGCTAGGCTTTTCTGTAAAGTAGAGCTGTGTTTCTTATTCTGAAGGAATAATTTTATTCTATTACAGGTTGAGTATCCCTAATCTGGAAATCTGAATTTTGAAATGCTTCAAAATCTAACACTTTTTAAATGCTCACATGATGTGCAAAGGAAACACTCACTGGAACATTTTGGATTTTCAGATTTCAGATGCTCAACTGGTAAATATATAATATAAATATTCCATAATCCGAAAAAAATCCAAAATCTGAAACACTTCTGGTCCCTAGAGTTTTGGATGAGGGATTCTCACCTTATATTATAAGATACCAAGATATTTTGCCCTATTATTGTTTTGGAAATTCCATGCCAAAAAAATAAGCTGACAAATGTCTCCAAAGTGAACTAGAATTGAATGTACTGGCTGGAATGGCATAGAATCTTATACCTTCTAGAAGTCTAGAATTTCATGGTTGAAAAAGATCTTGTAAATCATCTTTTCTAATCTCTATTTCCTATTTCATATTTAAATTTTCAGTAAAACATTTCCTGCTTTGGCTATGTCCAAGTAGTCTCTTAGGGTGGGAGAAGACTTAGCTAATGGTTTTAGAGTTCATAACCCTGACTACACATTAGAATCACTTGGGGCACTTTAAAAAGTATTACTTCTAACCCCCAGAACAATTAAATCAGAATCTCACTGATGTTTTTAAAATCCAAGATCTCCAGAATCTTTACTTCCTATCTGTGAACTTTGGCAGATTACTTAGAGTCTGTTTGTCTTAGTTTCTTAGTCTGTAAAATGGGTAGAATGATAGTATTTAACAACATAAAGTTGTTATGAGGATTAAATAGTTTAATCCATGAGAAGTATTTTGAATAATGCTCAATAAATGTAGCTGTTTCTAAATTCAGTTTGCCAATATTTTGCCCAGTACTTAAAATTTGTTCAAAAATTAATATGTACTTTTTTGGAAATTGTCTTTCGGTTTTGTTTTCATGGTTTGTGTTAATTGGGGGAGCATTATTTTACTCTTGGGGGGGAAGAATTTAAGATTGCAATTATTTGTTCCTTGGATGTTTTATGGGATGTGCTTGTAAGTGAATCTCCACCTGTGTCTTCTTTATGGAAAGGTTTAAAATAACTTGTGAGTCAGATCATAACATTTTTAAACTCTCCAGTGGCTTTTCCAATATGACTCAAGTAAAGCCTGCGTTTGCCCTGTGGGCTTGGGCTTCACCTGTGTGATATGGCCTTCCGTAACCTCATTGCCCTCATCACCTACTCTCCTCCTCCTCACTTCTTTGCTCCACTCACTTCGTCCTCCTTGTTGTTCGTTTCTTATTTTTCCTTGTTTCTTGAACATGCCAAGAATGTACCTGCCTCAGGGGATGTGTACTTGCTTTTTCTTTCACCTGAGATGGTTTTCTCTTCCAGGTAGATACTTTGCTCCCTCCCTTCTTTCATGCCTCTGTTCACATGTTCCATAATCAGAAAGACAACCATGTATTTGTTTATTTGTTAGTTTATTAAGTGATGCAGTGATTTTTTTTCCACTTAGGGAGTAGCTAAATATTTACTGTACACCTATTCTGTGCCAGGCACTTTCTAGATGCATGAGGTATATCTATGAAAAAGAAGAGATGAAAGATCACCCCCATCCCTCATGGAGTTTATATTCTCAGTGGTGGGGATCGAAAAAGACAATAACATAATAAGTACATTTTACTAAAAGAGGATACTTGCTTTAGAAAAAAAATGAGCAGAATAAAGAGGAATCAGGAGCACAGATGGGGGTTTGTAGAGGAAAGGGAGGATAGGTTGTGTTATTAAATTTTAAATACGGTGGTCTGAGTAAACTTGATGGAGGTGAGATCT